AATGACGTTTTTCGTTATCATCTTACCAGTGATTTCTAATGCAATCCACACCCAATTTCCCACTTGGATTTACGGCACACCTTTGCTTTTAATTAAATCGGAATGTATTCGCTGAGTGTAGAGAAAAAAAATCAATCGCTGTATTTATTATCGAACCAATTACAGAGCATAACAATGCACTTCCCAGTCTACCCCTTTAGCTGACACGCACTCGAGACGAGGCCAACGAGGCCATCATCCCCTCGATCCAGCTGCGTGCTAGGGCACAAGAAAACGAAGCTCCCAATCACCTCTTATCAGGCACCTTTATTTACGGTGCTTGGCATACTAAAAACTAACGGGCGAATCAATGGGAAACGCAAAAATATGAATAAACTTGGGGTTGTGGAGGTTGCAGGGGGACATACCCATCGTTTGTGACGGAGGAGAACTTCAACAACTTGGATAGAAATCATAGCAGGCACAAACGAAGCAAACGACTAATATTGAATTTGCAATTCGAGTCAGTTTTTCAACTTGTGACACGCCCTCTGAGTGGGGTGCATATATATGTATATGCATATATATATAAAGATATATAAGGAGAGATCGTTACAGAAAATTCATGAAAATCTCGCATACAGCTCAAAGCCAAAATGGAAAAGCGAAAACAAATTGAAGCTTTAGAGCTGCAGCCTGACAAACTGCAGCTGTAACAGCCGGAAGTTTTTGGGGCCATTTTTCCATTTGTCAAGTGGTTGATAGTGGGGGATAGGATGGGCATAGGGAATGAGAAGCTTGCAGCTTAACGATTTTGAAGCGAACCAAGGAAGGGGCAGTGGTAAAAAGCGGAGACTGGCTTACTCGCAGAGTGGCCACTTTGAGCATGCCTATGGCCATGAAGGTTAAGCGGCTTAATTGCTGTTAAGGTCAATTTTCTGGAAACTTGTTTTTGTCGTCAGTATGGGCCAAAAACAGATTTTCATTCTGCAAACTTGTGTGGCGCCTCTCGCTCAGCGCCATCACGAACGCAGGTTGCAGCTCCGACATTTGCATAATAACAGGAAACAATTTCTATGCGCATTTATGCTTCTGGCTGCGTGATGTTAACGCATCCAAATGCACACAGGGATCGAGCCTCAAAAAGCATTCACCGGAAAACGATGTGTTAGTTTGACAAAATGCGACATAGCCACAAAAAATGAAAAAAATAAATAAATAAAAAATGCAGGTGATTTGAATCCATTTGTAGTTGGAGAATGTAAATATTTGAAATTTAATTGATAGCAGCTGTAACTATTTTTCTAGAGGAAAACATGTTGTACTGTTGAGCGATCTGTGAGTGACATATTATTAATGAAGACAAAATAAAACAAATTATGGTTATTGTAGAGACTGTGCTAGTTTTGTTTTTGATTAACATCAACAAAACTAAAAATCAACCACTTGAAGTGAGTTGATCGATGACAGTGTATTTTTTGTCTTATATTATTTTCTACGTATGTCACAGTTAAACTCTTTAGAAACACACTCTTAAGGACAAGCCAACTGTGTTAGTTGAAATGGCAGGCCAAAGCAAATGATTGAGTACATGACTGTCAAGCAATATTTTCCAACCCAAAATCATATCCACCACCTCCAACCATCAACTGATATGTAGGCAATAACACACACTGATACTTTGAGAGCCCTCAGACTCATCTAGATTTTGCTATGCACCCTTAACCAAAACTTAACTAAGCTAAACTATAAAAACATGTGTAACTGAAGCACATATCCAAAATGAAATATGAAACGGTGCTCTGTAAATACTGAGAGGCGCCCTAAATACTTAAGAACAGTCTCGATGTGTGCTTTAACTTAACTCAATTAGTTGGCGGTATATTAAAAATTATGCACAGCGCAGCGATATTAAATGCGACACGTTTTTCTCAAATTGCCGCACGCCTGAAAGTATGCCACAAAACATGAACCTCACTCAAGCGGGTGTGTGTGTGTGTGTGTGTACAATTGTCGTTTTATAACGTTTATTAACCTGCCATTATCGTGCAGACCCATTGCACCCACAGAACGGGTCGTTTGTGTCGTTCGCTGTCAGGCAAACCGTCTGGTAGGTGCACAATTTACACGCCGCGATAAGAATCTTCAGCACGCAGCACAACAAAGCGTAATTTGTATTTGCAGTGTCTGCCCCACAAAATCTCCACCACAACCACCCTCAGGGAGCAGCTTACAAAGCAAAATACCTAATTAGTCTGCGGCTGGCTTTTTTGGGCAAGTGTCGAACATCGGTAGTGTGTTTGATTTTATTTTAATAAGTACACGAGTCTCGGGCGCTACCTCAACGCACTTTCAAATTTGCCACGTGGGAATATATATATATATATATATATATATATGAATACAATCCAACCCTCACACTATTGTAATGAAACAAAACGATTTCCATGCTTGACTTTTGTTTCGTTTCGATACGATTGTGTTTTTCTGGCCCATTGCTAATGTCTTAATGCCTTTTTTGTTTGGAGGCCTGGAAATTGACATTTAATTACAATTTGGCCTAGCCTCAAGTTGGAGTGAAATTAGTGGCTATCATATATGTAAATACAATACATTATATATTGCTTGCATGTGGCGATAAGTGCCCAAATTTCTATTACTCGAAAATGTATATTAAATTGCAATCGAAACGTAGATAATTCATTGATTTTTTCCCCATAGTAATACTTAAATATTATATTGAATTAGGCACCGAACCAGGCACTTGCCATTAATGACATATTTTGTGCTCACCTGCGGAAGGTGTAAAAGCTCACATTTTTGATTTTATATACTCAGGTGTGCCGTGGGAATTCCTTAAGCCTAGCATTACGCCTAAATTGACTTTTTGGGTATGTGAATTCATTATCATTTGGCAATGGTGGCCATAATAGAGTTGTAGATAAACAAAAATCATACATTGTACTTTCAGTAATAATAATTTAATGTATGTCTACATTTATGCTATATTATTGAAAATATAAAATACAATATTATTAAAAAACTATATTAAAAAACTTTGCTACATATACAAAACATATTAGTTATGTGTTGCATTCTACTAGTGAGTAAAAGTGAAAATAATTTCATGTATTCCGATCTCAGACATGGATGGCATACCTTGAAGAACCTACACCATATATTATAGATAATATGCTGATACATTAATTAAAAGAGCACAAAATTTACTCTAAAAATGTAAGGGAAACAAGTATATTATTTTCGTTTGTCATTGTATTACAGATACATAAGTGAAACAGCTTTGATGTGAAGTGATGTAATGCGTTAACACGTCTTAAGTATAGTGGCATTTTAAAGGTTGGCAGTGCTTAAAGTAAAAGCATAAATAAGACTAAGCTTGTCACGGCCTAAAACCGAGTTAGCCCTCACCCGTCCGAAAAAGAATTTTGTAGCACTAAATAAATTCGAATACTCTGCCGCATATAGAAAAAAAAAAAAAATACATATAAAAAAAACATATGCCAGGCACGTTGCCCACATTTATCAAGCCGCGTGTGAAGGTATCAGCAGTCATGTGCTAACAAGAACAACAACATTTGGCACACCATCACGCCCACGTACACACACACACACCCACACATACCCGCACACACACACACACACACACACACACACACACACACACATAAACACATAAGCACCAACACTCACACATTGAGATGCGCCTGTCGCTAGTGACAAAGAGTCGAAAATTTCAGTCACGCGAAAGGATTGAAAGTCATTTGATGTATTCACTGTCATTTAAGTTGCCGAGCTGATAAACCGACTGATAGATATATACACACACTCACACAGACACACACATGTGTGTGTATTGATATTGAATTGAATCGATGAGGGCTTGGCCCTGCCAATAACTACAACAACGGGACGATTTCAGTTATCCAACTAACTGTATGCAAATATAAGAGGAAAAAAAATAAACTCAAAGAAGCGGCAAGTTAAGTGCATTTAAGTGACAAACACATCGAAACTAGGAGTCAGTCGCCAGTCTTATTGACATATGTACTGGCAGGCAGTCAGGCAGACAGACAAGTAGACGGGCGGCCAGACCAGGAACTCGATTATATACGTATGTATGTATGTGGGAGCGAGCTGAGATAAAATTTAAATCTGTGCCACATGTTCTAGGTGGGGAACTTGTGATTTATTGAATAAATCAGTGGGGCGTTCTACTTCACGAGTTCTTCAAATATTTATCGGTGTGCGTGTACACGTGTGTGTGTGTGTGTATGTGTGTGTGTGCGTGTGGCTCGTAAATTTATGTGCTGGGGTAAATAAAATGGGCCTCCGCAGACCTGCTGAAAGCCGCAAGACGAGTGGTGGCAATAAAAATAAAACTGCCAAAGTATGTGTAAACCATTCGAGCGAAAATTGTAATAAGAATTTCACACTTGTCAGCTAGACTAAAATTAATGTTCAAAGCCGCTTAAGTGATCAATTTAATATATATATATATATTTTTTTTTTTTTTGCGCTAATTAAATGCCATCAACAAATAATTCAATTGATTTTAAGCGAAATCTATTATTCAATATTATTATCTGTCATTTGAGTTAACGTTTTTAAGCTCAAAAATGTATAATAAATTACAAGTTTTTTCTAGTTCATTTGCCAATATGCATACATTTTAAGAGCATCACATTTATAATGCCATCAAATTTAATTAAAGCTAATGAGCAAAAAGATATTTTAGTGGCACCTGTTTTTATGTGAAACCGTATTCTGTTTTTTATTTAATATTTATATTATGTATTTAATTTTTGAGTGCTTTAATTTAATTGATTTATTACTTTATTAATCATGTAATATAGCGGTTTTTCGTTTTCACTCGTCAAACTATAAATTGAAGTAGTAAACAAATTCGTATTTTACTTTGTTGAGCGGGATGACTTTTGATTAAGTCCTTTTTTTATTTTATTTTTTTATATATTTTTTATAGATACATTTTAAGAACTTACCGACGGATATAGTGAAGAGGAACACTAATTGATAGAAAATTTGTAGAAACCGCATTTTGATCATTTTTGTATTGAATGCTGCAAGCAAATGAAAAAAAAAAAACAATTTTATTATTATTATGGATGAATATATCGTATAACAAAAATTTATAGAATTTTCAAAATATATAAACAAGTTTAGGAAAATATTTAGCTTGAGTTTTTAACTTTATATATATTGTTAAGCTGTTTATTAAATAGAAAAATAAGAATTTGCAACCCTTGAAGACATTAAAGATTAGGTCAATATTTTATTTTTTTAGACTTCTGCTAAGCTATCAGTAAATTATGAAAACTGTAAACATTTTGAAAGGTGCTGCTATTTTCATCTGAAATGCCCACTCTTAAATTTAGTTACGCAGCATAATTTGGTTATTTATGATATTACAAAGCTATTGTAGGTCAAGTCGGACAGGCAGCCAGAATACTCGCTGGCCCCTTAAAGTTCAACTTGGCACAAAGACCAATAACAATAACAACAACAACAACCACAAAAATGTGTTGCTTAATGCGTTAAACTTTTACTGCAACACGTAACTCAAGTTAGGCTGCAGTTAGCCAGGTTGCCAGGATGGTTCTAGCTGCGCCTCTCTCTCCAAGCAGACGGGGCACCTGGCCAGATGTGGCTACGGCGAGTTTGTTGTTCCGCAAAATATTGAAAGCAATTTTGTAATCAAGAAAGGCAAAAGTACCAGCAGGGCAAGAAACAGAAAGCTTTATAAAGTAATAACTATAAAGAAAACTGCAGCGATTTTCCTACTACCCACATTCACACACACATACACACACTCACAGACACACACACACACTCACAGATACATTCACATATACACACACACACACACACACACACACTTTGCGCTAAAAGTTTACCATTTTGAAACACTAAAGGGGGAACTAAACGAACCACAAACTGTTGCCAAAAAAAAAAAAAAAACAGTGAACAAAAAATGTTCACATGAGAAATATTTTACATTTAAAGTTGAAAATCGGATTATAATAATCCCCTTAACCCCATGCTAGACCAAACTAGGGACAGGCTCTATTCGCCCTTCCCCCATCACCACTCTGCTGACATGCTGTAATCTTTTGTGGCTGCCAAAAGAACCCTAAAAACTCATGTACCGTGCACAAATGAAATTTCCTTAATAAAAGTATTTTTACCCATTCGAGTTTTGCAGTGCCTTCTCTTAATTGCTTTAGCTTCATTAACAGCAAATATAAAGAGTGAAAAAAAGAGCAACAACTTTTTAATTTATGCATTGACAAACTCCAACTACCAACAAAACCCCTGGCCCCATTTTACCGTGCCTTTCATTGCAAACTAAGTGCGCGATGGGTTAAAAGAAAAAAAAAAAACAAACAAAAATAACAACAAAAGCAACAGCGTCTTTTGGCTCTGTCCAAAGCGAGATAAGCCGCAAGCTGCAATCCAGACACAAGAATTTCTCACAGCAAGACACTACAGGCAGCGATTCCTGTTTGGAAGAGCGAACAAAAATTGCACACAGGGCAAAAGCGCAGCATCCTTTTAATTGGTTTTTGGTCAAACACTCTGAAGAAGAAAGAAAAAACGAAAAAGAAAGCACTTTTTAAAGCGTTTCTCTGATTTGACTTTCCGCTAACAAAAACTAGAACTGGGTCGGTGCCTTACCAGTACTTTACCTCAGTTGTGACAACATGAAAATTGATTTTATTTGCAGTAACAAGCTTCTTTTCAAACACTTAAAATTTTCTTGGTCTATCTTCACACACAATTCACTAATCGAATTGATTGACTCTTTGGCTATTAGCAAAGACGAGAAAAATGTAAATACATAATTATAATTAAGGCTATATTTATTTCAATAGTATTATGGCCAACACACAATGAAAATTGTTTTCAACTGACTACATTTACTATATATGATCATATATTTGTTTAAGTATAATTCAAGAGCTGATAAGTTTCGAGAAAAAATATATAATATTGACATTACTATCTTAATTTTATTTTGATGATTATAATTTGAATATCTTTACAAATTTAACCATAAAAAAAATGAAAATTGCATATTTTACTATAACGAAATTCACCAAAAATATGTGTAAAATGTTTTAAAGATCTCACAAAATAACGTCTAAAAATAATTTAATACATTTACCACTATTTATATGCAAATCATGTTTATCAATCAAATTTATACTTTTCCTCAAAGATACTCTGTGTTTGCTGCATATAGATTTGTTTTACCCAATGCAAATTGTTTATCAAAATTATTGTCCGAACCGTATAACATTTATTTATATGTATATTTGTTCTTCTCTCACTTCACATTACTGATGGTTGATTTTAAGCACTTCGTAAGCTGCAAAACAAAAATATAAATTGCATTGGCGCAATCTCCCATCAAATTCACAGCTGGACGGTAACTTTAGACCCCCATTATTTCTCGAGCAAAAAAAGAATAACACTCGATTGAACTTTGAGATGGTGGCAGAGCGGCTTAGCAACTTGGAATCTGTTCTGTTCTTTTTATTTATTTTGTTGTTATATCTCTACCTCATATATTGAAAATGGCAAGGAAAAACTTTACAAATGTGCAGCGTAAATGCTGTGCTATAGAAAAAATGGAAAACAGCGGAACGAAGTGGCGAACTTTTTCCATGCTATACAAAGTTTAGCCGATGGATGCACACATCAAAAGTTCTTCGGGCAAATAGAACAACAGGCAGACCTTTGGGTGATTGAAAAATATTTTCATATGTAAATTTGGCAAATGTTGTTGTTGTTGTTGTTGTTGTTTTGCAGCTCAAAATATATTTGTATATACTAATATATATATACATATTTATCGATATGTGTGTTGCCTACTTGCATATCAAGTGCAAGATCAACAACAATAAATTTGCTTGGCATCGCTGAGTGGCAAAATGCACAGAAGTCTAAATAGAAATTTGTTGTTCTTAAAGCCGCTGTTGTTGGTGTTGTTGTTTCCTTTTGGCTGCGGTCGACTGCCAAATTTTGTGGCATGTGGAAATTTATTTCATAATCTCAACAGCAACTGCAACCCAGGCCCGAAAAGAGTAAAAATGAAGAAAAGAAAAAAACATTTTGCATATGAGAACCACGAGTAGCTAAGCATGTAATTTATATCCTTGAACATTGCACTCGCTCTCCTTCTGTTGCACTTGCTATTGCTCCATTTGCTCTTAGTCTGTCTCTCTTAGTCTGTCTATGCAGTTATTGTATTTCATACTTGCAGGGGCAGCCGCAATCGGAGTTGCGGCCTTTGGTTCTTTTGGAGCTGCAATAAATTTGCTTGTGTTGCGAATGCTTCTAGCCTTCCTCAGCTGTTTCTCTACTCCCTCCGCTTTTTAGTTGCACTTCTGCCGTTTTATTTGGCCGCATAAATTGTTTACCAATTTTCACAAGTTTGTCTGTCTAACCATCTCTGCATGTGTGCTGGTGTGGTGGTGTGTGTGTGTGTGTGTGTGTGTGTCTGTGTCTGTGTATGTGTTGGTAGAGAAAGTCCTTGCCTTGGTTCCCAATGCTAAAAGCGGTTTAATAGCAAACTCTGGCAACCTTTTGATTTAGCGCTTCTGGTTTCCCAATGTATCTACTGGGGGCTAAAACTATTGTATTTTCCTTTAAATATTTTGTAATTGGGACATTTGTGAAATGCCAGAAAGTCAACAGAATTTGTGTGGCAATAAGTACGAGTGTGAGAGACAGACGAAATTTAAGAGCTTAGGTCTGCAAATTCAACTTTTGATAAATGTAATGTTCATAAATGTATCCTTGTGTATATTTATGAGCTGGGAAAACTAAAAATATTGTTTCTCATTTTGTATTTACATTCACATTCTTATTTTCATTACTGAATCATTTCTGTGAGTTTTTATATCGGTTTTCATTCAATTGACTACTAAATTCTAACATTGCATTTTATTCTCTTCATATCCTGCTGAAATCAAAGCTTACAAACATTTTTCTTTGCTTTTGAAAAAATAAATAGTGTTTTAAATGCATGTTATTCATATTAAGAGAATACAATAGCTTGAGTGAAAATTGATTCTAAGAAAATTGAATTTAAGATCTATGACCAAAACTCGAACCTTGACTTATGAAAACTTCCAGAAACTACTAGCTAAAGTCAATTTATGAAAACTGTTTGATTTTCCGATTTCCAATTAAAATAATAACAATAATTTAATCTCATATCCTGCTAAACCAGTTTTAATAATTTAACTGACTGACACTATTTAATTATTGAGAGAATGCGAGTGCGGAACACTAAATCTCTGGTTATTTTGCTAAAATAAAATATAATTTGATACTATCAGCTTTTTTTCTGTTTGTCTTTGTATTTTGACAAATTTTTTGGAATTACAGAGCGTTTTTAGACGGACTAAGTTTCCCAATTATTCGCTTGAAAATATTTGATTCGTTGAATTTCTTTTTATTAATTTGTGAAATAATTTCAGAGCTATAAAAAATATTGAAATTGGTAATAAACATTAGTGTCTGCCAGCAAAAAGTTTTGGAGATCCTTTCGTAAGCGAATAAGTAAATTAAACTTAGTCCAAATTCTCAAAGCGTTATGGTGTTTTAAAGGGTTAACATACCGTTTTGCTTAAGCATTTGTTCCTTCAATTTCCCATCAATTTAATATTAAGTGCACTCCCACCTGCAATTTTTAAATGCATCTTATTTTACGGCACTCGGCTGCCATCAACCGACACACACAAATTGCAGCTTTTGCATTTTTGCTTGAGTTCACATGACTTTATCAGCATTAAATAAATTTTATTTAATTAAATGCAAATTAACTACGCAACTTTATCAAGCCAAGCAAAAAAAAAAAAAAAAAACGAGTATAAAGATATGAGGCGAATATTATAACGGAATGGCTTGGGCAATAATTCTGAAAAATTCCCACAGCGACACACCTTAAGCTAATTAACGCAGCTCAAGCCAGGTGAAGGTGAGCTGTGCAGAGATTTTTTCGTTCGGGAATTTTTGAAATATTTTTCGCATAAACCACAGCACAGAAGCAAAGAGTGCGACATGAGAAATGCCTTCAGCTGATGCCGATGCTGTGGCGCAGCTAGAAGAAGCAGAAGCGGAAGAAGAAGAATGCGTTGTCCTTGCAGGTGGCAGTTAAAAATTGTTGAAATTCCTCGACTGGACCTCGCTGGCGTTGCCTCGCAACTCACAGCTCATTAAACGCTTGTCACCAGTTGCCCCGTTTGATTATCGTTGTGGTTGTTGTTGTTGTTGTTGTTGCCTCCGCTGTTGGTGTTGTTTTTTTTTTTTTTGGGTCAGCATTCGGGATAATCCCATACAACTTAATGCGCCCCTTGGCCGTGCTAAATAGCTTTCATTATTTACTTTACTTTCGCATAAAGCGCAAAAAACAAATTTTAATTTTTTTTCTCTTATTTTTTTCTTGCATTTTTATGGCCAATGCAATAAAAGAGAAATCAGAAAAAATAAAGAGAGTGAGTGCGCAAATAAATTTTATTTCACTGCATTTGCATTTCGGCTGGTTGGTTGAATGCGAGAATGCATGAATTCTTTGGCAGTTTAAAAGGCTTAAAGCCATTCAACAGGGGTCCTTGGCCTTATTGCTGGCACCATAATAAATCATGACGCATATCAATCAGTCAATCAAATATGCCCCAGAAACTTGTCTACATATTGATTGTACGCAACAGCAGCAACCAACAATAACAACACCAACAACCACAATTTATATCTGACTCAGCAGTTTTTGTGAAGAAAAAAAAAACGGCAAATAGAAGGAGAAGAAAAAATGTGCTATGCATTTGACATTTTTCGTCAATGATACAAGCAGAAAGAAAAAAAGAAAACGGAGCACATCAAGACATGTGAAAGGATACACACAAGAAGAAAGGCCGTGGCAAAAACTCAGGACATTGTTGCTTAGCAGTCCCCACAGTTCCGATTTCCTTCCAAGTCTGTCCAACGCATAAGAGTCCATAAGAGTAACTTTTATGCAGTTGACAAGTTTGGTTTGATTGACGTGCTACAAGTGGACCTTTTTGTGGCACGCCCACACATGTGGCAATTGCCCAAGAAATTGCCTAAATTGCCTGATAATAATATATTTAGCGATAAGCTCAATCAAGAATGAAGAATGCCAGTAACAATTTATGATTAACTTGGCATAATTTGTGGGTCGTTAAAATAGTCCAGACACCAATAAAAACTGTAATAAAATTTTGAATCATTACTGAAAACCAAAGTTTTATGATAGTTTTATGATAGTTCATTTATGCTTTGACCCAAAACAATGTTAAAAGGTGAATTATTTCAGGTGTTGGCTTATAATCTGTTCCCCATAATCTTTTCCCTCGTATCTGTTTCTCGTTCCGCACAATTTAGTAAAATTTTGCAAAAATATAACTTAATTTTGCTCTTCTCATTATCTCCTAGATTTTTACTTAAGCATATCGTTGGTATTCTAAAAAAAAAACCCTTTAATAATTATTATTTTTTTTATTTTAATATCTTTTAATTTGTACATTTATTTTAAACGTTGATGAATTAATCCTTACAGCTTTCTGAATTTTTTTTTTGAGTGCTAATAGTCTAAATTAAATAAAAAAAACTAAACAATAAAAAAATATCACTTCCATTATGAGTTTTAAAATAATTATTTGTTGCAACTGTGATATAATTATTTAAAACTGATGTGAATGGAAAAATATACATATTTTAATATATATTTTTGAAATAACGCTAAACCTACCTTGATAAAATCCAAAATAAATGCAATATTTAATATGCTCAGGTTTTCTAAGAGATATTTGCTGATGTTTAAGTTAATTCAAATGTTTTCACATATTTTGCATAAATTTCTTATTAATAATCGTGGCAATTTGATGTCGATTTAGTTTTGGATCCTTAAAAAAGGAGCAGAGTCATGCGTGTGTGTGTAATATTTGTTGCTTGTGTGTACTAACGTTGATTATTGCGGTTTTTGTTTCTGGCCTTTTCCTGCCATACACACACATATGTCGGGCTTAATTTTTTTCTGTTGTATTATTGTGTCGTTGCTTGTGACTTTTATACGTTGTTTCTTATCTCATTTCGCGTATCACGGAACTCGTTAAAATCACCTTAAAACACGTGACTGCATGTCATGCACACAAGCACACACACACACATACATAGAGGCGTTATATAGGTGAAGCAACAGCTCAACCCACACACACACACACACACACACACGTGCAACCACACAGATACGGGAAATTTATGGCTGCACGAACAAAATGTGCCGTTAGGTCGATCGCCGGCTCTTTATTTCAAGCTGTTCCTTTTGCCTGCTGCAATGTCAAAAACACAAACTCACTGAACGAAATTCCAAAATATGCACACACACACACACACACACACACAGCCACAGGCACACAATGCACTGCTTTGAAGCTACGTAAGCTTCAATTCGCGTAATTGTTGCTGCAGTTTCGCTTTGTTGGACTACGTCGCTTTTTTGTTGTCTCGTTTTTGTGACTGGTGACTGGTAGAAATGACGGAGCGAATTGCAAAATGGCAAACCTCACGCAAAGGCAACGCAACGAGAACTGAGCCAACGACGACAAGCAACACGGAGTTTGCCGAGTGCTTTGCACAGATTAACTGTTCTTTTTCCCCACAACGAGCAACAAGAACAACAGCAGGAAACGAATGCCGAGCAAGCCGCTTCGGCTGTCGCACGAAACGTCGCACGAAGCTGCAGTCGGTCTTTGAGTTTAAAAACGAACTCTGCTGGGGAAGTTGAGTGTGCTCTCAGCAAGAAAGTGGGCAAGAGAGAGACAGAGAGCGCCTGGCCTTTTAAGTATGTCAACATGCAGAGGGGCCAGCAAAAGCAAGACGTGCAACTGCTTGCAGTCATGTAATTATTGTTGCATTTAATAAACATTATCTGATTAGGAATTTTAAGGTTCCAATAAGATCAGTTTTTGCCAATTTATAGAATCTAAATGTTTTTATTGGCAAGCGATTAATTTTTAAAAATGGAAGTAGTTTTTTAAATATTTTGCTAGTTTGAATTTCTAGATTTTTATTTGGCATTGCATTTTGCCGACTTTTTCTGATTTGCCTAGATTCTCATCCCCTTTCCCGTGAACAAAATTTGCTTTTTGAGTGCTTGGCATATTTTGCTGTTTTTAAACTGCTTGACATACTCCAACTTTACATTTCCCCTATTTTTGATAAGCAGTGAAAAAACTGGGAACGTGTGGTGGGTACATAAGCACAACAAGGGTAGGGGAAACCTAGTGGCAGTCAGTTGCAAAAAAGGAACTGTGGTGTCTATGTACCCACCACACCTCCCCTGTGTTTCAACTGCTTGTTCACCACACTTCTCCAGACAATATTTTGGTCTGCTTGCTACACTGCTTGGAAAAGAAATTATATAAGAAAAAAATATTTGTGTTTCGACAGGGCAAAATTTAATTTAGAAGAAGTATTCGTTGAAGAGCCAATTTTATTGTACCTAAGCGCTTATTATGGAAATAAAAAAATAGCGGTAATAATATCAGTTCAGCAAATAAAAATATATTTTATAATAATCATTAATATATGAATATTAAATTCTACATAAAATTATAAATAATTTCTACACATTTCTAGCAAACTAGAAATATGAATATAATAATAAAATTAAACAACGTATTTTTTTTAAAGTCCTTTATTGGCACATTAAACCAGTCATTACCGGAATTTAGTTCGCAAGAATTGAGAATGAATCGCACTTGGAATTTTGTCATCGGTTTTGAGCATCAAATGGATTTAACTTTGAATTTGGTCCACAATGAAAAAATTAGCCAACAATTAAAAACGGTGAATTTAGTACATAGCTATGCAGAATTCAACCGAGTCCAGTTATCTTATTCTATATACGAGGGGAGGTAGCGTAACCATCATCATCCTAAGCCGAATCGAGATTACAATAAATAGTCCTCATTATAGATAGATAGACAGCATACCTTACCATACTAAGTTCAGTTCAATATTTATCCAGTCTCTGAAACAATAAAACTTATATCTCGCAAATGTTAGGTCTTATTCAATTTGACTTACGTTCAGTAGTGTTAATTTCTTTATTCGTGCAACTTCTCCATACCAAGTTTAGGCAACTTGGTAAATTTTTATATTTCATTCTTGGTATTTTTATATGTACGTTTTTTTTATTTTATAAAACTTAATTTAAAATGTATTTTTTGTCCTTTTTTTTTTAAATGTTAGTCAAATTTTACTTTACGCTTAAAATTAAACTTTTTTTTTTTTTTGATTTTGTATTTCGTTTTTTTTTTTTTTTTTTCCTGATGTTGTTAGTATAAAATTCCGTGTCAAACTGAATTTATTTCCCAAATCTGAGCTGGGAGATTGGAAAGTTTGAAAATAAATGTGAAGCCTACTTAGAATAAATTATATTTATATTAAATGTAAATATATATATGCATTGATAATAATGTGATAAATTAATTATAAATTAAATTCATTGCCAATATTCTAAGTCTATAATTTTATGCTTTAATTCATTGTTTTCTTCATTTAAACCAAGAGCTGAGATTCAAAGCAATTTGATGATCGAACACATTGCACATTTGTGCCACATTTGCAACATCATTTTGTCGAGTCGATGAACTCTTGTTTTATTATAAGCTATTATTCTTGTCATCCTAGTTGGCCTATGGATGCTAATGACTTTATCGTCCCAAGTTGGCTGCATAATTTGTATTATTTTTAGAGCAGGCTCCTCTCGATGCTTGCCAAGTAACCAAAATGTATTCTCTGAGTGTTTGTGTGTCTCTGTGTGTGTATTTTGGAGACAGTCTGTGGGCGTGGCAGCAGGCTAATGAACTGGAAATGGGTTGTTCCACATCAGCATAATTGCCATTTTTATGATTATGACATTTTGCGCTTGAAGTGGTTTTGCCCAATGGCAACTAATTTCCGTTTCATTTACATACATGGGAAAGAACATTGCTTATCCTGTGCTGCTTTCCTTCTGCTGCTGCACTAAAGCATTTGATTTACAATCATGCAGCTGAGGCATTTTACAGACACAAAGTCGCCCTGCAGCCCATTTGGCAGTGCATCAAACTGGCGAGCCTTGAAATGATGCCCAAAATAGGGCTCTTAACTGGGGCTACTTTTGCTGTGATTTATGCCAGACACAGAAGCTCAGATAACATGCATATATTTCAAGATAATCGAGTTGCGTAGTTTCCACTTAATAGTAATTGATTGGCAAAACAATAAGTATACAATAAATTCACAAATTAAATCATCAACGTTAATTAAAATGTGAACACGTCCCATTCATGACTCATTTCTACTGTTTCACGTCAGCTTGCCGAGACTGCTACTTGGAATAAATAAATAACAAATATATGATTAATATGCAAATAAACAACTAAATAATAAAACATATAAACCAAAATTCCTTTATTTATGTCAATTTTTAATGGAACACTTAAAAAAATAATAACAAATTATATGTAATACTCAATAGTATTAGAATTAAAATTGATGTATCAATAATTTCACATATACGTTGGATTTCTTCATCAACTCGCTCCTCTTCACTCCTCTTCGCTCCTCTTCACTCCTCTTCGATGTAGATTTTTTAACAACTCTTCAAATTAGTTAAAAAAAAAAAAAAAGACTTTGTATCCAAAGCAGATGATTATTTATTTTTTCCGATCTTTACAAATGGGGTTACAAATGTATTTTTCTAACAATTTGTTTTCCTTCAGTTAAATTCATTTCTTTACAATATACATTATAAATACGTTGGTAGTGTTCATAAATAGTTCATATAATAAGTTTCGATTGAGTGCAAATGCGAAAATTATGAGTCAAGCCAACTATAAGTCGAAAATTTCGATCTGCAAACTTTTTCTTTTATGTTTTTGCCTTTGTTGTTTGGATCCCGCATTTGCCAACAGTTTTTGTTTTTGTTTTTTTTCAATGTTTCAATCGAACTTAATATTAGGTTGAATAAATAAATGAGTTGGCTTAGTTTTATCTATTATAGAGTAATTATTTTTTTGTTGTTTTTTTTTTAATATATATATTTTTTTTAATTTTTGTTTTTTTCATATTTTGCAACTTGTGAACTGTGTGAAGGGGATAAGCATCACCAGAGCATTACCACTGATTCGAGGGGCGACGCTCGGCTCCGGGCGCAGCGCTGCCGGAGAATCGCGGCGAGGAGCTCTGCGAGGAGCTGCTGCTGGGCATACTACTGCAGGCAGCTTCATTGGCCAGAAGCGTATGAATGGCCGCCAGCAGCTTCTTGCGAGCTCCAAACGCGGTGATGCCCAGCTCCATGAGATTCTCCTCGGTCAGTGTTGAAAACATTTCCAAATCGATTTCGTTTAGCACGAAAATTTCTACAAATAGAAACAATGAAATCGCGCGTTAAATTCAATTTAAAATTAACAACAGCATAAAATAGGTACGACAATGTGCATATCTATAAATATATTTAGTAAAGCTTGAGTAAATAATCATATTCTAAATTAAATTTAAAAACTAAACTTGTTAAATAAGAAAAGAAAAAATTAGCTGTTTGTCTAATGAACAATGAAATAAATGGAAGAAAACTGATCAAAAACCAAAATAAAAATATTTTTAAGAAAGAAAATAGCTTTTAAGCAGCCAAAATCAAATGATTTTAACTTTAGTATTATTCTAATTATAATAATAATTGCATAGCTTAATATATTGATTCCTTTTGGTCATGCAGACGGACAAGACTAGATCGACTCAACTTTTGATGCTGACCAAGAATATATAACATTTAGGGGGTCGTTTTATTCATTTAACTTTGAATTATAGCAGAAAAATACACAGTTTTTTTCAATTATTATTTTTTTTTTTTTGTCAAATATTAGAAATTTTAAAATAATATATTTTATAGTTTTGGCTACTTACTGATGTAATGCTCCATGCCGAGGCTTGTCAACAGGGTGTGTATATCCTTGTGTTGTGAGAGTTGCATGCGCCGACTCACGGGCGTTGCATCGAGCAGACCCGTTGTGGCGCTCAGTCCGTATGTGGATGACCCCAGACCCGGTGGCGGTGGCGGCATTCGCCAATTGTTGGCAGCACCACCGCCGGTGGCACCACCATCGTCTACCGTCTCGAGGGGCGCCGGCGAGGTGCGGCTAAGACCCATACCCATCCAGGCGGGCGTTGGAGTGCGCAGCTCCCCAGCAACCGGATTGCGTTCCATGGCCTTGAAGCCGAGCGCACGTTTCATATCAAAATCAAATGCACGCTGCTGCTGCTGCTGCTGCTGTTGTTGCTGCTGCTGTTGATGATGATGCTGCTGCTGGTGCTGCTGCTGCTGCTGTTGGTGTTCGTAGTGAAGATTGCGATAGCTCTCGGCACTGCCGGGCAACAGATGGGCACCGCCCGTCGTCGCACTGCCCAAGCCGAGCAGGACGCCATCGCTGAGGCGACGGCCGAGACGAGCGGCGCCTGCAATGCTGCCTGCCTCACTGCTGTACGTGGAGTCCGGGGAATAATGCGATCGACTTGCACAGCCCAAGCCGCCGGCACCGCCGCCCGACGAGCTGGATGTGGAGGAGACGACGGTCTGCACTTGGGCAAATGGTGGATACGATTGCTCCAGCGAAGTTGTGCTGCTGCTGAAGCTCTGATAGCCACTCGTATTCTGACTGCAGCTGTTCCGTGGCGATAATTGTACCGCTGCCGGTGCCGTTGCCACTGATCCTGTTCCGGTTCCATTTCCTGTTCCTGCCACCGGCGCCAGCGGCTTGAGCAGATTGGAGCCAGGCACTTGCAGATAGTTGTTGTTGTTGTTGGTACTGCTGCTGTTGTTGTGGTTGATGTTGTTGTTGTTGTTGTTGCTGTTGCAATTGTTGTTGTTTATCGTGTTCACCTGGCGCGGCTGATAGTTGCTATTGTGCAGCTGCATATACTTTTGCGTGGGCGCACATATGCCGGTGGGCGTGGCGAGGCCAACGCCCACACTGTTGCCCAGCAGCACGTTGTGACTCTTGTTGCCATAGGCCGCCAACTGGGCGATTATCGGTGGCAGCAACGATGGCGTCTTCGGGCTATCCGGATATCCGGCGAGCAGAGCCGTCAGCTGTGCGCGATACGCCGCATTCACAGCCTTGTCCTTGGGCATATAATAGTGCTCGGGTATCTCCGGCCGGAGTGCGGGCGTCGACAGTTGCAAGATCTCCTGGCGTGCCTCATAGATTTTGTCTGGCAATAGTAAGAAATTTGATGTGAATTTCATTTCATTTTATTGAAGAGATTTAAGAGCTTAAGCAGCCCGGGAAGTCCCCCTTTCTAATCGACCTAAGACAGTTTGGTAAATAGAATATTGACTCACCTATAAACTTCTCAATGCCCTTGATGACAATGGCCAAGGTGCTTTGTCGCTGCTTTTGGCGCAGTGTTATATAGACGCCGTATTTGGCATTGAGGCCCATTATATCGGAGGCATCGGTCTGGTTGTCCGGAAAGTCAAATATCAATGCAACGGGCATGTTGCCGAGCAGCTGTTGTCGCGCTTTATAGACATCGTCGATGCGACCGCTGATTGTCACCTGCGACTTCTTCAGCGGCTTCACATTGATATCAGTCAGATCGGGAAAAATGATTTTGGTCTGTGTACGGTCCATGATGCTCAATAAATTCACATTGTTCTTGCCCTTGACCACCTCGTGATGCTGCGGCGATATCTCCATTTGTACATTCACAAGAATTTGACTCTAAGTGGCAAAGTTATCGATCAAATTATGTTTGATATCTTGGGGCACGTTGAACACTTACCGCAATGCTCTCGAAAGCAAAGTTAATCAGCAGCTGCGTGGCATCTCGCACCTGAGCCGATTCCTTCTCGGAGCCCTTGACCAGCACCAGGGAGGTGTGCAGCTTGGGTCGCGATGAAAATATGACCTGAAATTACCAACATCAAATTACAGAGTTAAAAAAATAACAAAATTTGTTTTGTAAAATGAAGATGGAAGATTTGGAAGATTTAAGGAATCAAATATAATATATAAAAACTGATGTGAAAAGAGATACAGTGTCTGACACTATTTTACTATATATTAATCCAATCATTTAATAATCATTCTGGTCTTTAAATGGAACTTACCTGCACATTAAACTTGCTCTCAATCATTTTGATGTAGGGCGTCTCGTGATCCGGCTGCGGCTTACCCGGCCCCATCACCGGCATCTCAAAGGAGATGAGCAGCGGCGTGGAGAGCCGCACAAGGGCTCTGGCATGCTCGACGCCCTCGAGGGTGCCGCACAGCGACACCTGATTCGATTTCTCCGTCGCATTCGAGCGATTCGAGTCCGGGAAGTGAATGTGCGTGTTTGTGTCGTCCATGATGCGTTTAATGTTGTTGCCGCCGCGTCCAATGATATACGAGTGATCCGTATAGCTCACATCCATTTTCATAATCACGCGTGTGCCCTGACACAACAAAAGACACATGAATGATAGATAAGAAAAGTAAGAACTTGTTTTCCATACGCACTCTGGAGTCCAAGCTGCTTAGAATGTGATCCTTGGCGCGCTGCACCTGCTCCATCTTGCCCACAATGCGTACGTGGGGATCTGTGGGCGTTGAGGTAAATATATATATATATATATATATATTTGATATATTTATTATGTATGCAGTTCTCACCCTTTTTGCTCTTGGCGCCGATCTTCAGTCTGCAAGGCCAGCTCACATAGGTATCCGTGGTATTCATGATCTAAAATATATTCAGTTATTAAGCATATATCGGCAACTTAGGCGTCTTGATGTAATACACTTGAATTTTGTATCGGTAATTAGAATAAGCTAAACATTAATGGTTTCTTCACTAAAATTTGTAATGTGTTTGCTAAATTTTAAATGCGAATTTTGTTGTTAGGCTTTAACAATTTGTGCAAGTGTAGAAGTGAGTTAAATCTAAGCAAGTACTGCAGCGCCTACTGCAACTCCCAACAGAAAGTTGACATGTATTCATTATATAAAATAATAAGAGATATAATCAAACAGAGGAAACTTAACCCTAAAGAAATTTTTAGATTAAATATGAAATCCAAATACTTAAATCTAAAATATAACATTTCAAATATTTTTGAATTTGATATTGATATGAAATAAGAAATATTATAAAAATAGAATAAAACTAATATAAATACATACATAATAAGTTATATGAAAAAACCATAATATGTTTGAATAAACTTAATAATAATGTATATACATGACAAGTTATATGAAATAAGAATTATTATAAAATGGAATAAATTTAATCTGGCATAATAAAGTCAGTTCATATCAAATTAAATTTTCAAGATCTTTTTTACAATGTATTTACTTATTTATAATTAATATTAGCTGAATTCATTGGCAATCATTTTTTCTATCTCTATAACTATTTAAGACAAGAAAAACTTCAACTTACATCATCAAAGAAATACTCCGCACCATTCATGCCCTCAATGGCGCTATCCGCTGCAGATTATATATGTGTATATATTGAATCATTATTGCATTAAAAGAAATACTGGTTCACTCACCCTTTATTAACTGTTCCAGTTTCTGTCGATCGACCTTGAAGCGCTCCGTGTGCAGATCGTCCGGATTTTGTACGCCCAATTTGAGTGCAATGGCGCGTATGTCACTCCAATCGCTGTCCACTGACGAGATCTCGCTCGGTGCCCCGCTGCCGCCCCCCGGCCCCGTCGGCAGCGAGAGGGTGCTGAGGCCGACCGGAGCGAGGGGTGTCCCCTTGCCATTGGACATGGCGGGGACATCGGCGGTCGTTGGATAAATCAGTTTGTTGAACGGGGCACAGGAGAGCATGTCGCTGTTATCGGTTATCGGTGTTCAGTAATCAGTAATCGGCAATCGATAATCGGTAATCGGTTATGGGGTATCGATTGATCGATAGACGGTTGGTTGGTTGTTCAAATTGTTCAATTTGTTTATCGAATGGTCGTTTAGGTTTAGAAACCAAGTTAAATGTCGTGAGTTAGTTGAGATTGTGTGCGTGTTTGAGTAAGAGTGTGTATCTGTGTGTGTGTGTGTGTGTGTGTATGTGTGTAAGAGTGTGTGTGTTTGTGTGGAAGTGTATGTAAGTGTGTAAGTAAGTACGTATGTATGTCTGTGTGTGTGTGTGAGAGTTAAGCTGTGTGCAAAAAAACAAAAGCAAAATTTAAACCGAGAGAAAAAAGGCGGAAAAAGGTGTGTGCGTGTGAAGAGGAAGAGTGGGTGACGAAATGGGCAAATTGGCACCGTTCTGAAATATCTAGCATATATATTATATATATATACATATATAAAAACTATTAACTGAATATGAGCAATTAGTTGGGAAAATATTGTGCAAACTTTACTTGATCATAATTTGCAAATTAGAAATTTAGTTATTATTTAATTCTCGATACAAGATGATTATATATAAGATTAAATATAATCTTTGGTAGTTTTTTAAAGGAGTATGTGCTGCGTAAGTATATTTTTATTTTGCGAAATTTTGAATTTTTATTTATATAAAATATGTTTAGATACTTTTCTGATACACATCAAAGGCTGATGAAATAGTTTAGCTATGAAGCGGAACAATAATATTATATATTAGTATATATGTATATATAGTTATATATGCATATACTAATTCGATTTATATATATGGACATATATGAGCTACTAATACTAAACTTTTTCTGCATCGCTTCTTTCTTTTAGAGCTTGCAGGTTAGTTGAAATGAAGTGCTTTAAGCAACTTGTAATTAGTTTAATTGTTGAATGCCACAAACATAACCTCTACTTGAATTTACTAAAGTGCCATGAGGTTTTTCCTTCTTTCGTAACGGAAACGCAAAAAGCGCACAGAAAGAAAAGATGGGCATACAGAAATAATGTACAGTTAATTGGACACTTTCACTTTCCACTTTCCAAGCACTTTCTTTGTAGACTTACCAAAGCAGTTCGCGACTCTATTTGAGATTGAATAGGCCCCGAAAGTCCAAGCAAATGGCATGCGAGAGATCCTGGACGAATTGTATGGCCTCGACGAGACAAACGTTCATAACAAAATTACGGATTTGTACGAATCTTTCGACGAAAGGCATTTATTTATTGTGATCTATATGCATATATATAGAGTGTGTTAATATTATTCAGTTATATTCTTCTATATATGTGTATATATTTTGTGAAATTGTCTCCCTCTCTCTCTCTCTCTCTCTCTCTCTATCTCTCTCTCGGTATAAATTGTGAAGAATTTATTTGCTGCCAGCTGAGGAACTTTTACTGCTACCACTTGTTTGTACGACTCGAAGGCAATTGAACGTTCTTTGGCATTTTGAGATCGAGTCGGGGATCGAATCAGTCGCATGTCAGCGAAAGCTGCTGCCCAAAGAACGGTAAATTGTGTCCGGCTAAAGTGAGAAATGTAGCCTGGCCTCGAGCCTGGGGAAATGCTCACAAATAAATGCGGCGGTCAACGAACCACTCTCAGAGAGCGCAAAAAAATATATCATGCAAACAAAACAAACTTGCGGAGAGAGTCGAACACAGCTGCACTTAGCTGTCAGGCGACAGCTGCAGAGAGCGGCTCTCTGTTAGCACATTTAAAGAGTACAATTTCCCATTGTTTTCATTCTTTGATTTACAACCAATTGAATTTGTACTCTCTGTTAAGAGTTTAATCTCTGCTTAATTGATCAAATTTATTATTTGCATATTGCATTTATTTGTTATGTATTATTTACATTATTATTCATATTAGAACTTTTAGCTTTAAGCAACACGCTGTTAAAATGTTAACAACAGCGTTAACAGTGCAATGTAAAACTGCTGTAATGCAGTTAACATTTTGCGTAAATTTTGGCGCCATTGCGAATATGGAAATTATAAAAAAAAGCTTACGCACACCAATTCACGCAATATTCCCGCCAAAACAAAACACTTACCGTAAGTTTATTTGTAGACTTGGTATATTCAATAGTTGCACAATGGACACAATTTCTTTATATTAATATTATTTTGTTTTGTATTATTTAACACAATTATTTATAAAATCATAGATGGGCACAAAACATATTTAATTTATCCAAGTAAGACGCTCGATCAGGTTATTTTATTCACGTAAAAAAAATGAATTGATTTCTGTTAACTTTGGGCACAATTAATGTTCCGTCAATTGGTCAAATCGGAGCTTAGGGAATTTGTTGGCAGTCGTCTTATTTTTTTTCAATTGAACCAAAAAAATAAGCACTGTCGAAGGGGGTGCTAGGGGGGGTACAATAAATAAATGGAGACACGTGCGAAACGTGGAAACACACAGAAAAGAGAAAAACTGAAATTGCGAATTGAAATTGTTGTCCGAATTCGAGACAAGGTCAAGTTTTAATTAGTTTAATTATTTTTTTTTAATACTAAACTTAATGGGGCTTAATTAGAATTTTTGTCGAAATACAACGCGTCGTAGTAAATGCAAATTGCAGCGAGCGGTGCTTTCGTCGTCATTGAAGAGCGTTGACTGCCCGAGGTGCGAGGCTGGATCTTGTCCCGTCTGACCTTCAGGCAGAGCTTTGACTAACCGCAGAGCAGCGAGCTGCAGCGGAGGCGGGGAGCAACTGGTGCTCAACACGTGTATTGAGCAAAACGAAAAAGGCAAATGCAGCAACAACAGAAAGCTTTACTTGTTTTCGTTTCAGGCTCACAAGCAGAGTTCTCTGACGAGCTTTTGAGTGCAAAGCTAAGCTAACTGCGCGAAATAAGGAAATACCATAGATGGCGCTGCTCACTTGCAGTACTTACAGTGGTCGGCATAAATAAGTGTACACATGCAGTACATTAGTTTTCGCCATTTAAAGAAGCAATAAAAAAACAAATATATATTTCAATATTTATAATTTATTATTGTTTATTTATTATATATTTAATTTGCTTATTATTAAACCAATAGCCAATAAATACTAATGCTTGCCATGTTTTTAATTTACTTTTTACATTCATTGCCCATACATTTAAATGTTATGCTTAAAATAAGGGATTTTTTATTGTAGTATTTACTTTTTACAACATTCGATTTGTGTTCTTGGCTATTATTAATTCTTTGCATTACATTGTTGGTTATTCTTTAATTGTTATTCTTGTCGCTTTAATCGCTTCCTTAGATATGAATATGTATTTTATATTCAATGTAAGCATTCGTATTCTGTTTTCCCTTTTCATATATCTACCGACTACATCGAGCTTAGCTTCTAGACAACATTTATGTTTTAATTTGATTTTCTTTTTGTATACCTTTTAAGTGAAAAAACATTAAAAGGAATCGACTTCGATTACTTTCTATATACACTCAGAACTCGCCTCACTGCCATATCGATATAAGTGTGAATAGATCCATATATATATATGTATATCTACATATATATATGTATGTATACAGCTGAGCAGAACTGAGACCCACAACTGACAACCGAATAAACCGATTCACATCGAAAATTGAGGAAATGAATAAATAAATAAGGGAAGACAACTTTCACAACACTTTTTGATTACATAAATCTGAGCGCATGCAATATATATTATATATATATTTATATCTATAGATATATGTGTGTTTATATTTATATTTATATATGTTCTTTTATCATATTCAACATTTACACATACAAATTTATTAACCGTAATTTCACAATTAATTTTTCTTTTCTTTTGTGCTGTTTAGACAACTGCTTAAAATACTTTACTATATACAATTTTCAAAATTTTGATTATTATTTATCATTATTATTATTATTATTAATATTTTTATTTTTTCTTTGAATATTATTTTGGCTGATTAAACTTATTTTTCGTATTTGATTCGATTTCTCATTTAAGTTTTCGATAAATTTCCGAATCTTTTGCAATTATTTATTTATTTTTGAATTTTTTTCTCATTTCCATTAAATTTACAATTATAATGTTTTATTTATAAGGCAAAGGAACTATTTACCGTTGGATTTTTGTTTGCCAAAAATGTTAAATGATTTGTAGTTTTTTGTTTGCAATTGCTTGAAATAATATGGATATTTTAAATAATTTGCTTTCCCTTTTCTTTCCATATCCATTGTGTTTAAAATTGGTTTTTGTGTCTACAAATGAAAACTATCAGTAATTAATTTTGCATGCTTCCAAAACCGTAAAAAGTTCCTTTCTATATAATTTTTTTATTATGTTTGCTTATGTGATTACGTTTATCAATTATGCGTTATTCTTATTCTACTGATTAGCCAAACTCTATTTACAAAATGCTCCTGGAAAGAGAGAACCGTTATAACAAAATATGTGTGTGTGTATGAGTGTGTCTAAGCTCTGTAAAAGTTTTCAAATTTTGTTGCAAACTAATTATTTGCCATAAATTACTGCATTGCTGCATTGCAAAAAGCTATGCTCAAGTGCAATTTTAGTCTCAGCCTCTGAAAGCTTTCAACAGTTCTCTCTTCAAAATATAAACTAGTAAGAGCGAGATCGAAGAAACTTTGGCTGTGATCAGCGCAATCAGCTGTGTATTGTAACAAAGAGAAACAAGCAGTGGCTCTCAAACTGCGTATAGGTTTGCGAGTGACATTACAACTGTGCTTATCAGCGAAACAAACTGAATATGTTTAATTGTTAATTAATTTTGTTTTGCAGTTGTCTATTGTTTACTAATTGCTATGCATTTTATACAAGTATAACTCTTATACAGCTATATATGATATATATTCAATGCGCTTCACCTGTTATTTACTTGGCATACATATGTTTCTAAATATATTATTTATTTTTACTATAATTTATTACATTTAATTTCGCATTTGCCATTGCATTAATATCAAATTACAAGTTTTCTCTTGCGCTTCGTATGCTTCTTGGTATTTATTTCAAGCCTCAAAGTGGCGTTTTAACAGTTAAGCACTTTTCCCTTTTTTCATATTTCATTTCTGCTTGTCTTATGGCATTAATTATTGCGCTCGCAAAAACAAACAGAGAACAAAAGAAAGAGCGAATTGATGGGGGAGGGGGTGGAAGGGGGGGGGGGGCGTGTTAAGAGAAATATTCTCGACGCTTTCCGTTTCACCTTAAGCTACTTTTTGAAATGCATTTCATCATCAATTCAGCATCAGCACGCGATGAGAGCAACGGCTGCTGGTCGCGTTGCCAACTTCTGCCAAGTCATCAATAATCGTTGATCCAGCTGCGTGGACACGCCCACTTGGGCAAGTGTCGTTGACAGCTGTTGACGCGTTAGTGGCACTGCTTCAGCGCAAGCTGCAGTTAAATCATCTCTCAAACTGGCAGCACTCGCAATATTCCCCCCGCCAACGCCATCATCATCATCATCAACATGCTCTTCTTCTTCTTCTGCGTCTCGTTGAACGTTTGCCTGATCCAGATTCGAATTGCCAGCCGAAAGTTGCCAACGCCATTTGACAATTATAAAAGCATTTGTCGCTGCTCAACGCTGCCTTTGACATTGTCACATCATTGCTGCTCTCTCTCTCTCGCTCTCGCTCACGCTCGCTATCGCTATCGCTGTCTGCGTCGCTAGTCGACTGTTGCGTCGCTGTTAGCCTCTCGCTGGCGTATTGACAGTTGATAATTTGATGGGCAGCCCAAAGCCCGCTGGGTGGCTGGGCGAATGCATCAAAATGCCACGCCCACTTCAGGAGCTGCCTGTTGATGTGTCTGTGAAGCTTTGCAATGTGCTGAAAGGGCAGCGCCTCCACCAGCTTTAACAGCCAAAGGCGCCAAAAGATTTCATGCGCTGCACTCGCCGCGCCCGACGCACTGTTGTCCGCTACAAAGGGTAGAGTAAAAGAGACGGAAATGTTAAGAGAGGCTGGCTTATAAAGAGAGACGATTGTAATTGTTGCATTGCATGGAATGCATTAGCAAAGAGCCTTTCAGCCATTGTGGTATAATTAAGAGCAGTGAAAGTTTGAAAGTTTTCCTTTGCACTCAGCACTTTTTTGCATAACGATCCTAAATTACAAAAATAATTAATATTTTTCCTTTTGAGAGGCAACAAGATAATTTCAATATTTGTATATTAAGCGAATTGCTCTTTGATTTTTTATACCACAATTTCTCATTTGCATATTGGAGAAATGGACTCATGTTTTATGTGCAACTCTCTTGCACTCCATTGATTTTTACTCGCTTGCTGCAGTCTGAAAAATATATGATAAGCCTACCAAAAATAAAAAAAAGCGAAACCAAACAAAACCAGTCAACGAAATAAACCCATGTGTGTGTGTGTGTGTGTGCGTGTGTGTGTCTGGTGTTCATGTCAACATTGCATTTGCATAAAGTTCACAAAAATCGACAAGCAGCAAGGAGGAGTCGGTTGCAATCGGAACTCCGACTAGGAGTCGAAAGAATCCACACCCAAAAAGCAGTTCATCTCGCATGGTTGGGTGCAATGCAAATAACGTTGCATACTTTGCAGCACTCGCTGAATATTTGTGCTTCTTTTTTTGTTGCAAGTCGATTTCGTTTTAAATACAATAATTTTAATAAATAAATAAATAAGTCGATGAGAGAGAGAAAAAGAGTGAAAGAGAGACAGAGAGGGAGAGAGAGAGAGAGACTTTGCTTTGCCCGAGCGAAAATGAAAGAAAAGCGCCTCAAAATGCAAACAGCCTTTCCAAATTGCCACTGGGTTTCTGCTGCAAGAAGAACAGTTGCTTATCGTCTGTCTGCCTGGCTGCATGCCGCGACAATCTTTCATGCCTTAAACGAAGTTTATACCAATTTGATTTCGCTCGAGCATTTGATTCGATAAGCGTCTCAGTTATCCAGGAGCAGCAACAGCAGCAGCAACAGCAGCAGCTGCAGCAGCAACGGCAGCGACAGCAGCGGCAGCGGCAGCAACGGCAGCGGCAGCAACAGCAACGGCAGCAACAGCAGCATCATCGGAGGCAACATCGGAGGCAGCATCTACATTAGAGGCAGCTGCAGCTGAATGTTTATGCTGGCAAATGTTATTTGCATAATTTACGTTGTACGTTCGAGCAGCAAACAGTTGAGGCGCCACAGGACTGAGGCGCAGGACACCAAGTGGCTTGGGCAACTATTGAAAGTTGACATAGCAGATGCTCAAAAATGTTGCTCTCCCAATTCCTTACCCTCCGCCCCCGCCCCCATCCACACTCCTTTCCCGCCTATATCCTTAACTGCTGGCAACTGGTAACTAGGATCCGGCTGGCAAACACTTCTTAAAAGGTTTTCGTGCTCAGTTTTAAACTACTGGCAGGCGCCCAAGGAAGAACTCAACGCTGAGTAAATTCTAACAACGAATGCATTTTGATTGTGTCTCGTTTTGGCAGCCAGATTTGTCGATTTATTTGTGGAACTTGCCTGCTTATGACAATAGACTCAAATGATTAAAAGTTATGTTTCCAAACTTTTAATTAATATTTTAACTGCACTGCAACAATTTATTGAACTCTGATAGAAATCTTTTTCAGAAAAGTTGTAAATTAAAGTTAATTTTTTAACTAAAAAGTATTCAATAGTTATCCAGAAATATCAAATAAAGCAACTTATAATTTGTAATAACATTTTTTTCTGTTTACTTTTGGCATTTTGCAACACTTACCCGAGTAGTATGTCAAATATGATTCATTGTGATCCTCGTAGCCGCCACGCTCTCGATCCCCATTATTATTGCCATGCTCATCGAGTGGATAATTGTTGATATCATATGATCTGCCCGATGCCATTATTCTGGGGCGATCCTCCTCGATAATGCTCTCGATTTCCTCTTTGAATATGTCAAATATATTCGCGGTGCACTTCAGCTGTAAAATCGTGGAAAACGTATTGATATTTAAGATATATATTCATACATTATTTTGTTATTTACCCTCATCTGTCCCTTGAGAAAATGCTGGTTGGTGACCATAAAGTGTATGGCACTTGTCACAGATTCCAGAGAGCTATTCTCCTGTTTCTCGATCTGATACGTCTTGATGTGATGCGGCGGCACCTGCGATTAAGCCAAATATTGAATTGCAATACAGAATGGGCAGTGAGTGTGTCAAGTGTGTCGAGCGACTGAAATCGAATGAATCGAATGAGTGCACGCTCCAATACATCAGCTCAAAGGATAGAAATAGAATTGGACTTGGCTTGGCACTATGAATATTTCAAAATACTCAATATGAAAAGGCGTCGCATCTTTTTTAGAAGGACACACGACGATTCAATTCAATGACGATTTGTGCGGCACAGAGCACTTATCACGCACCACACCCGGCACCACAGAGCACCACACAATGCACAATGCACAAGTGGCGACTGTTGAGTGGATACTGTTCTGAACCTGAGCCGTAGTCCGTAGAGCCTGGTTTGGGGCCACTTCTTACGCCATCGTTGCGCCCAAAAAACATACCCATCGCAGGCAAATTTATAACTTATGAATGATGAATAGATTCACGCTTGAGTGATTAAGTGGAACACTGTCCCAGCAGGAGGGGGAGGGGGCGAGGCAGCCAGGCAGGCAGGCTAGCAAGCAGACAGGCAGACAGGCAGCTAGGACGAGGCCACTTTGTTTGCGGTGAGTTTAGTTTGAAGTGCCTGCAGATATCGTTGCCAGCATGACAGGCCTTTGCCTTGCCTCTCCTCCACTCCTCTCGTCATCAGCTCATGCTGTCAGCACACACACACACACAACCACACACACATGAGTCGGGCAGGGCAAAGTTGGTGGGGCAGGTCCTGTTGAAAAGTGCTCGTTAGCTAAAAGATCAAGTGGCGAACCAACGCACACCAACACACACACCAACACACACACACACACAGCCAACCACACTTAAGTGTTGTTTGTGTTAGTTTTTGCTGAATTGCTTTTTTGATAATGATAAAAATATGAACCCTCTCCCCTCTCTCTCTCCTTATCTCTCTATCTCGCTGACTCTTTCTCTAACTTTCCTTAACTTTCCCAGTTGTTCTCCTATTCCTTTCATTTGATGCCTCCAAGGTCGTGTTTCTAATCACAGCTGCAAAACTAATAATTGCCAACCACCTGCGAAAAAATTGTGCATTTCTATTCCATAAATAGTATTGAATCTCTGCTTAATTTTCTTAATTTTACTCTGTTTCCACATCAAAATTGGAGGTGAAATTGTAATATTCTGAATCGGTAATGCAATTCGACAGAATAAGCCAGAAAAAAGAGGACAAGGCCCGAAAGACCAATACGACAATATAAATTAAGACTCAAATCCACAGATTGTTCTCCTAATCATTCCGGGCCTACTCATCGACAGCTGGCTGATGGGATATACTTGGTTTAAAGCCTGTTACAGACAGCAGTATCTTCGCAGCTATAGCAAAAGATTGGCTTAAAGACTTATAAACCATTTGAATAGACAATTTATTATTACCTCTTAAAAAAACTTGTCTGGTTTTTGGCAACTTTCTAAAAGCTGCTGCGCTAAAATTAAACTTAATTCACCTCTGCCATTAATCATTCGCTTAGCGGGTTTTTGTAGAGTTAAAAGAGTCCACAATTAGAAAAAAATATAAACGAGAATTAAAGTTATAAATTAAATTATATAAAATAAAATAGTAGTCATTAAAAAAAAAACTCTGGCGATATATAACTATTAGAAATTAAATTAAAGGTGAAAAGAATTTCTTTTAGCTACTTAAGAAGAACTCTCTCACTGACTTGCTGCACAACAAAAATTTACTTAATTTACTTTTCAAAGTGAACTTTAAACTTTTCTCGCATTTTATTCACATTGGAAATGCCATTTTGCCAGGCCTTGAATCTCAGCAACCTAAGCTGAACTTACAAGTAGTCGTCGGCATAAGAACCCACACCAAATGATATATTACTTTAACCAAACTGAAATTCACAATGTTCCCACAACCCCCCCTCATTCTCCCTCTCTCTCTCTATCTGTCTCCCTCTTTTTCTTTTACTCACCAAATAATTTACAGCAACAATAACGTGGAAGCTGACAAAATTCTATACCTAATGCGGAAGCTCAAAAAAAAACTAGCTGACAACCTAAACGTTTCTTGAAACAAACGCTGCAAAATGCCAGCAGACCCAAAAATGCCCGGTCATGTTACTTGCCTCGACTTCCTTATGCCCCCCGCGACCACCACCGCCCCCCGCGGCCACTCCATGATCCCCCACGCAGTTACACACCTGTATGAAATCATGCAGAACTATGACAGCAGCCAAGAGAGCAGCCCAACCCGTGAAACCCAAACCTCTGCCACGTCCTGCCACGATATGTTGAAACTGCCTGCTGTGGTTGCAGCCATAAAACAGTCGGCAAAAGCAAAAGGCATAAAAAGTGACTGCCTATCAAAATATATGGGGAATCTCAGGCAAAAACAAAAAGAGCATAAAAAAAATAAAATAAAAAATAGGAAAGAATCCTACGAAACGCAGGTGCCAAAAAGTGTGCAACACACACGCCAGATGAAAAATCGCACACTAAACGCTAAAAGATTGGCAAACGATGCAACTATACAAAGTTGTTTTAGAGCTTCACCTGAGAAAGTAATCACAAGTGGATGGCAGACACTTTAATGCAAATACTACAAAGAGTATCGAGTATTTGAAGTTGAAGTAATTTCTCAAAATAGATCAGAATAATCAATGAAAAATAGGATATTACATTCTGTTAAAAACTATATTAAGATTTAAGTTAAATACCATTTATAAAAATTACAAATTTAAATAATTATAAGATTAAATGTAAGACTCAATTACAAGAATATTTGGAAATATTCTACAATAATAAAGACAAGCTACAATTAAATCTGTTAAATAAATATTAAATTTAGATCGAGTTTTGTGCTAATCATTTGTTTTGTAGATAACATATTAAATTTAAGGCCAGGCATCTGAGTAAGTTTAAATATGGATAACAACTGTTCAACTATTTCGGGCAGCTTTTTTTTCCAAGAATAACACATAGTTTTTCCAGTAGCCACTAATAAGAGGTGTCAACGCCTACAGAATACCTAAAAAGAACTAAAAATTGCTCAAACACCGCTTGAATCCGTTGGCCTACAATTGGCCAATTCAGGTGAAAATGAAGTGTTGAAGAGAAAACTTTTATGGGAATTGGTTGGGAGTGTAATTGAAAAATTGCCGGGCCATCAATTGAAATTGGCTCGAAGCGGTCTCTAATTGAATGGCGGGATCGAAATGGATGACGTTGCCGCGGAGTAACCGAAACCAAAACTTACCACAATACCATTAATAGTCCATGTCAAATTAGCAGCCGGCTTCGAGTATTTAATTGAGCAATTGCCGTCGACCAAATCGCCAATGCGATAACGTGCCTGGATCCCGGTAACCACTGTGTGCTCTTCCGGTAATTCTGCGCAAAAGAGATAGAAAACAAACACATTTATAGCAAAAGAGGGACAGAGGTGTGTGTGTTTGTGTGTGTGTGTGTGTTCAGACTGCATAATGGAAATGTAAAATTAGCTGACCAGCACTCGAAAAATGGCAAAGGCTGTGGGCCCATTTGTCTAATTAATTTGCTTTGGCAAAGGGACCGCCTTTCGCCAATTTTTATTTGCTTTTCGCTTTTATTTTATGCTTTTTTATGGTGTTTATTTTTTTTTTGCTTTTTGCTTGTCGTTTTGCTGGACAGCATTTTTATTGCATCTTTTCAGTTTTTACTTACCAACCACCTCCATTTCGCCGGATACCATAGCCGTTTGAAATGTGGGCGCCTCCACGGATATTTCGCATGTAAATTTGCCCGAAATATTCAGCGGCACCGACTGCAGCACGACATGACTTTGATTCGAGAGGTTCCTCTGCAAAAGTGTTGAAAGCAAGAGAGAGAGAGAGAGACACAGAAAGATGGAAGAAAAGAGAGGGAGAGAATTAGTTGGAAAAATTGGCCAGATGCACTGCATAAAAATTGAATATAACGCAAAGTGCAAAGAAAACTTGAGGGTAAAGCATACGTTGATGAAAGGTGCTCCACAAATGATTATGGAGCTTGCATTTTAAATTTGCCAACCCTTGGCTTGCTTTGAGTCAAAGCAGTTTTGCAATTTGGTTATGCGATGATTTGCCATATTAAAAAATATGATGAAGTGCTTGAAAATCTTTTATTTGTGAGTTGACCAACAGCTAACAATAACTGCCAAGAATCCATTTATATATTTATACACATCGAAATATTGCAAATGCAATCAAAGTATGCCTGATAATAGATATTAACAATAAGCCTCTATTATTTTGATATTAGCATTATAAATGTGGAATTTAGTCAAGCTTTAGCATTGCATGAGCTGCTCATTTAATTGTGTGCCACAAATGTGTTGCATTTGTCGAGTACTCGAGACCTGTCCACTCATCAACCACTCGGAATATTCGAAATTGTTTACGCGAAATTAAACCTTTGACAGTGTTGGGTGTGTGGTAGGTGTGTGGTATTTGCTGTGCTGCAATTAAATTCAATAAATTGCATTTAAAGATGGCCTTTAATGGGCAAAAATATGTCACTTGCCAATTGACAGCTCTGAACGGAAACTGAGCTGCACAGAATTAAAGTGGACTGAAGTGGATTGCTTTCGCCGGATATTTAACCCAATTTAGCCCGGACACCTAATTGGCCTGGTTGCATTTACACGAGAAAAATTGAAGTTGAGAACTCCGCTCATCAACTTTATGGGAGTATTTTTTTTTGTATATAATGCAATTTACATATACTGTTTTTTAATGAGCCGCAAGTCAATCGCAAGCAGACTAATTGGGCAACGGAACTCAATGGATACACTCTGGCTGTGTGTCTGTTGTTGTTGCTGTTGCTGTTGATGTTGCTGTTGATGTTGTTGTGTATAATTACAACATTCAGAGATTGTTGTGGAACGAACGAATGAGATTTTGCCAGCGACTGGCTTAATGCAATCAGCCATTATGGGCATAATTTACAGTGCGTTTGTTATTTTATGACACGCAACTGCAGCATGTGCTCTTAATGTGAGACACAAACTCTCAACATCCCATGGGGCATACATACATATATACATATGTAAATATATATGTACTTATACATACATGTACTTAAATATATACTCTTTCTCATCGTGTACTCACCTCGACATTAAGGCCACTTGTCATGGCAAACACTTTCATTGCCGGATTCTCTTTGGGTGTATAGCGATAAAACTCACGCTTGCCTTTATACCATTTCACCGAATATAGCGTATCGTTTTCCATATCGTAATTACAGGTGAACAGGGCGTTACTGCCGCGCTTTACCGCCTGTGGAATCCTCACCGACACGTCCTTGAGCGCAACAATAAAATCTGCAAAGCATAACGAACACAAAACACAAAACATTAGAGGTATGTGCATAAGAATATCATTTTATATATGCGTTCCGCTAAATGAAATTAAGCACAGACGACGAGCTGTTATCATGCGGCGTGGCTTATTCACTGAAATTTCATTAATTCCGCGTCAAGGAGGCTCCAGGGAAGGAGTTAGGCGGTTATTGATATTATTATTATTGTGGTTTCAACGAGGTGATTGACTTAAGTGGGAAACCAGAACTAAAAACCAGTGCGAGCAGTTTGCTTCGGCGTGGCAAAGCTCGACTCTCGGGTGTATTCGAAACTTAAATATAATACAATTAAATATGATTATTAAATATTTTATAAGTACACATTTTAATGTGTAGTTCAGTAGACACATTTTAATGTGTAGTTCAGTAGACAGGCGAGCTCCAATTATGCAAACTTCTTTTTATATAGTCCCCGTTTATCCATAAAAACACATTTCAGAATTTGACAGAATAGATTACAAATAATTGCAAGTCTTTTGCTAGATGCAGTTGAAAATGGTAGAAGAAAAATTTCAATTTTCAAAATGGGTAGCTAATTCTTGTTCGCAAATTGAAGCAAGTCTGATAGGGAGAGAGAGAGAGAGCGAGAGAGAGAGACAGAGAGAAAGAGAGAGAGAGAGAGAGAGAGACATGCAGAGAGTTATAGAGAGTTAGAGAGACAAAGAGGCAGAAACTAGGAAATATAAGTCGTGTAAGCTTGATGAAAATCGAATAGAAATTCGATTCAAATAGAAAATAACAATAGATATCCATCAATATTCACCCGGACACAGAGGGGCACTCGATAAATTCGAAGAGTATAAGTAGCTGCACATCCTGGGAAGGCATTATAAATGGCATAGAAAAGTCAGCGCATTATTTTGCTGCAAAGCAAAATGGCAAAAACTAAAAAGTGGCAAAAATGAAGTGCTAAACAGCAAGAAGGGGGAGGGGGTGGGTGAATGAATGGCAGTACACACACACACACACATAAAAGGACGGACGGAAGGGCAGACAGATAGATAGACAGGCGGAATGAAAAACGGAAAACCAAACTTGAAATTGTATTTTACTGCATGCTAGTATGATGAAGCCTGTATTCAAGCAACCTCGGCGCTACTGTTGGCAACCAGCTAAATGGAGAACCATTAAAAGTGGACATTTGTAAACATAAACTGACAGATAAACACCCAACGCAGACGTGGCAAAACTTTGCGCAGGACGGGTTGGTCAACTCATGGGTCCGGTGGGGGATGGACAATGAGTTGCCCTTGCAGTTTTCATTGGTTTATATTACCTGTAAGCACCGCATGCTCAGCTAGAGAGAAAGCCGTTAAAATACTTAACAAACGTAGATTGTAAAACTTTTTATAACAAAATAAAATGCCAGGCAAAAAAAAAAAGTTGTTGTGTTATACGAGCTGCAACCACAACAATCGCAGCAAAAGCAGCAGCAGCAGCAGCAGCAGCAGCAGGAGCAGCAGGAGGAGCAGCAAATGCAACCTCTGCTGAAGGACAATTTTACTCGCCGGTCCAAGTCCGATAGCAACAACAATGCACTGGGGCACTGGGTGGGGAGGGGTTAACTTGGTGGCTGTGGCAACTGTGGAATACTGCGATACGATATGTGGAACCAAAGCAAAAACAAAGCGCTTGTTATATGGGTCAATATGAAACAATAAGGATTGTGAAAATGTATTTAAAAAAGAACAACAAAAAAAGACTTACAAGTGGGGGGGAAAAAAGAAGAAAAACATCGAAGTTAAATGGTGAAAACAAAAAAAACAAAACAATGGCTGCCAACTTAGTCATTACGTGCGAGCAGGAGCGGGACACCTATGGGTATATAGTGTATGATGCTATTTGGGGCTACATTTTGTTGTCACATGGAACGCACTAAGGAAATGTGAACAGCACGAAATAGGATCCGCTCCGCTCCGTGTGGTCAGGTCAGAAACTTGCAACTTGCTTATCGAAAGCTGTTACAAAGTCCAAACACAATGGACTGTCTGTCTGTCCAGAGTTCAATTCAGTGGGGGGCGTGGCACAGTGGTTGGCTTCAATTTCTATTTGGACTGTTCAGGCTTGTAATTTGCGCATATGCAATGCACATTGTATGGAGTTTGTTATTGTTTGTTCGTTTTCGTTGTTGTTTGTTTTTTTTTGTTTTTGTTTTTGGGTTGTGTCTAGAAGAAGGTCAAAGTTGTTTTTTGTTTGGGTTTTCCAATCATTGGCGCAACTAATTGAAATGCGTTTTGATGCGAATTGTTGAAAATCCACAAAGTAAAACTATTTTTTTTTTTAAAACCTACATAGCAGTGTAGATTTAAAAATGTTTATTAACTTATAATATGAAGTTTTTAAAGCTTTTCATTGTCTGGTTTCCAATATTTCTTTTTTCGCTTATTGATTAGGTTTTAAGGAGAAAAAAGTTGTCAAATTATTGCCTCATTTGCTTCTATTACCCAACCAGAAAATGTGCAAAACTTCTTACATTTTTCAGTGCATCTTTTTTATTATTATTTTTTTGTGTCTACATATAAATTCTGCTATTAGTTTTTCTTTTATTTTTTTTTGGTTTGGTAGACAAATGCAAAATGTTAATTTATTGCTTGTCGTTTTGAAATTTATGCGGTTTTGTTGAGTTTATCATGTTGCTCAGTCGTTGACTTTAATAAGTCAGCTGGTCTTGGAAACTTTACAGACGAATTGCATTTGGCTTTGACATTAAAAGCTGATCAAAAGTTAAGCAGCCAAACAAACTGCGAGACAAACACCTCAAAGTGTTGCTCAAAACTCAGACAAAACAAACACAAACCGATTTTATACGGGGCGGTTGGAGTAAAGGCTAAGGGTCGTGGTGTCGCCTCAAAGTGTTGCCAACACGAGGGTGCCACTAAGTTGGCTTGTACCAAAACACACACACACACACACACACACACACATATACACACACACACAGAGGAATGACACAACAACCGAATTCAGACACACATTGAGTGAGTGCGAGAAACAACTTCAGACCCACTTATAGCTGCAGACCGAGGCTCGAACGCCGACAAAAGCCACAAAAAAATATAACCTGCCCAGAAAAAATGTGCCATCAGCGGGCTTCCCAACCAACTGATGACTGAGAACGAAGTCGACTGTCAACACAGCAGCCAACCATTTGACCAGCCATTCCCTCCATATACCCCTTACTGCTGCTTACGTCTGCCGCCTGCCAGCCTGGCTGCTTGTCTTGCAGCCATTTCAACTTTGGAATTTCAATAAGGACCTGGATGTAACGCAGTGAAAATGCCGCAGGTGGTAGGCATATACATAAGGGCGGGGCAGTGAAGGGAATCCAAAAGAAAAGCAAATAAGCCAAAAAGTAAATACATAAATTCAAAGTGGCGAAAAGGCGCGAAATGTTCAATGCGTGAATTAAATGAAATTCTGTGCTTAACAATTGAAAATTTGAGTTAAATATCGTCATGGTGCAGCTTTTCTCACCAAATTCCCCACCCTTGTCATTGTTATCGAAAATCAACAATTTGCCATCAAGTGTTGTTATTGGCGAATTCAAATTTGTTATTTTATTATCTGAATGTTAATTAGATAATGCTATTAAATAAAAATAAAGTATATACATAAATATATATTATGTGCTCCCAATCAACGATTAAGAATTTATTTTTTTCTAAATATATATATAGGAATTTGTTTTAAAAACAAAAATATAAATATATATATTGTTTGTTCCCAATAAGCGATTAAGTTTCACATCATTCAGAACGACCATTTATAGGTCAAACTAATTTTGATCCATTAAGCAATCGGCAATTCAGTTTTTTTTCTTTCAAAATCGATGTTTTATTTAGTAGCAGTAATCGAAATAGATTAATATTTAAAAATGTCCGAAAGCTGGCCAAGATATCTGGCTCTTCCAACGTAACAAGCTAGTCTTTTTTTTAAGCCTTTAGCCACATTTATTTTTTTTTCATTTCTCTATGTTCGTAACAATTTTTTATCATCAGCTGTCAATAGTTCATGCAGCTGGTCAGTGAAAAAATGGGAAAAGAAAAATAGAAACAGTGAAAATCATTACATAAAAGTGTTTTATGTTTTGCTATTGCAACTTTGACCAGGCGCCGTATGAGCCAAACACACACACACACACACACACACACACATCCTCATACAGTTGTGTGAGTTGTTGTTGCAGTGAAAGGCTCTCTCGTTTTGGAAGTAGTCCAAACTTTCAAATATCAACAACAACAACAAACAGAACAACAACAAACAGAACAACAACAAACAGAACAACAACGATTTGTTACTGTAATTTTGTGTTTTGGCTGACTTTTTTTGTATTTTGCCATAAAACTTCAAAAAAAAAAAAAAAATGGAATAAAAGAAAAATATAGCAAATCGAAATAAACGCATTTTTATATATATCTGTATTTATGAACCCCATAAATATGTCAAATAAATTACAAAACAGTCAAAATATTGTGGCATCTGTGTGTTACTCTCTCTGTGTGTGAAGTCATTTATGACGATAAGGTTTGTTTATTTTTGTTTACGAGTATTCACTGTATTTGTCGTTTGTCTACGGCCCTCTGAATTTTATTTTAGAGTTTCCAACAAATATTCGGTTGAATTGATTGTTATTACAGAGGCATTTTTGGTCATTTTTCATTTCGTTTTACTTTGGTCATGAAGTCCGTAACGTATCGGTAAGAAGATGAGTTAATGTACTAAAAACTTTTATTGCTTAACAGTTTGTCCAACAGAAAGTTACTCTATATACTCATTAATATGCTGTTAACATTTCAACAAAACATTATCGTCTTCCGACTTACATATCTTACATATTTGAATCTGGTCTAAACTGGTATGTAATATTCGGATTGTGGAAGATAGCCCTTCTTCCTTGTTTTTATATAATATTTCAAAAAATATTTCTATTTAATATGTTTATAGTTTTCAACGATTTTTGAT